AATTCGCTGAGGGAACCGTTTTCCTCAGTATTTACAGTACTTTTTTTCGCGACCGCGCTTTTACTCGGTATTTACAGTACTTTCGCACGCAACCCCGAAGCTTTTTTCGGGGCACACACATACACACACACACACACACACACACACACACACACACACTCACACTCACACTCACACTCACACTCACACACACACACAGACAGCAGAAGCGCCCATGTAGCTGAGCAGCAGTGTATGCCTCATGGAAGACTTCGCAGGATCTTCCACCGAGTGCTGACGAAGATGCAGACAAGGGGCCCTTTGTTTGCAAGTGAGAGAAAGACCGTGGAGTCGATAGTCATTGCACCTGCGTCGGGAGTAGCGCGAGGAATGTGGCTGCGAATCATCAGGCATGGATCCGACGTTTCTAGCCCAAAGTCGAACCACCTAAGCTCATCAGCGAGTACTTGTCTTGCTCTTCAGTCAAGCTCGGCTTCGGCCCGACGCTTGACAATAGCACATGCTGTTCCACCAGACACTATCTGCATGGCGTGTCTGCTCTTCTTGAACCGCCTATCCTAGGTTTGCTCGCCTTTTGCTGATATTGAAACTGCTGGGCCTTGCCACAGCTGTACAGAGACGGCCACACCCGTGGCCTTGATAATGTTGCGGTGTTAAACACCGATGGCACAGAGCCACGAAAGCTGCCAGGGCTTTGCGATGGATTCCGCGGCTCCCAACTGACGCAATGTTTGTCCATGCAGATGCCAAGATCCTGCCTTCTTTTGAGGGTTACAATTGTTCGTTAAATCACCCAACAGGGCACATTGAGAGCCGAGCTGCCAGGATCTCGACGAGGTCACCGTGCAAAAAGGAAGCGAAGAAAAGGAACCGCCCACTGCCCACCTTGTCGAAAGGTTGCTGTTGAAAAGTACCCAGTCATGTGGCACCATCATGATGAATGCCGATTTTCGAAACAAAGCCCTTCCTGCCTCTGCTTATTACCGACGGCTAGACAGCAACGTGCTCTTGATTGCGAGCCTTTCTGCCGAGCGACTTTCCAGAGGCCTGACGGAAGGCGCAGCAGCGAGCCCGCAGGGAGATTGTAGGTTTGGTAAGCGACTCTCGCACACGCACGCACGCACACAGACAGAATAGCTCCCTGTGCCTCAAGCAACATCGCTCGAAGAAGCCACGGGATCACTTAGCTGCGGTGCAGCGGCGAGCCCATGGCCCTGCGATGCGAACTCCTTCCTCGGCTTGGGCATCGGGCCGAGCGACCGCGAGCTCCCGTGAGCTGCTGGCCTCGGAGCTGGCGGAGGCGCAGTCGGCGCTGGTGGCTCTGCGGGGCCGGCTGCGGGGGACCAAAGAGGCAACTGCAGAGCTCCGACGCCGCTGTGCCACGGAGGAGGCCGAGGCTCCTCGGCTCCTCCGGAGGGCCGAGGAAACAGCGGCGGAGCATTGTCAGACCAACCACGAGCTGCGGCAGCTGCAACACGCCTTGGTGCAGGTCTGAGGGACGAGTGTTGGAACGCTGCAGCAATCATCACCTGTTACTCAAGATTCTCAGAAGAACGCCACCCCTGCGCCCATGCAAAGTGCAGCAGGTGGGCCGGCGACACCAGACCGTTCGGGAGACATCTGCAAGCAGTCTCTACGCACAATGGCGGGCTGCCCTCCATGCTCACGTACGTGCCGGAGGCCCGGATGAGGCTTACGTTCTTGGGGATCGCAGCTTTCGCTCGTAGCGGTTGGAAGCCGAGATCCTGACAACAATGCAGGCTGAGGCTTGGGTTCAAGGCCGGCGGATTGCACGGAGGTCTGGTTGACGTGGAGGACTTCCCATTTGCGGCCTTCCTCAAACAGGCGGAAAGAGGAACTGCAAGTTGTCCTTCTGAGTCTTTGGGTTTTTGCGGCTGTACATGCGATCTTAGCGTCAATAGATTGGCAAGCCTTCGCAATGGGACTACCTCGGACCCTTGCACTCCGTGATGTTCTAGATTATAGCAAGGACTTCTTTTCTTTTTTTCTTTTGCATTCACTACTTACCAGCAGTCTCAGCAGCGCTCGCTTCAGAACTTAGGGAAATCTTGCAGGTTTTCCTTTGTGCGTTCACAGTCTAATGGTACAACATCTTTGATCTTCGAGACTTGTACTGGTAGCGTGGGCGTTTCCCTTTCGCTTAATGTAGCGAAGCAAGTGTATCAGCCACGGATCACAGCACAAGACCGAGCGGGAATGGTGAGTCTCAAGAGTTGAGCAGATTTGCATTCTCCGCCAACTCTGGATCCAGTGACGACACCGACAAGGACCACAGCTTACGTCGATGAGGGCAGCCATGCTAACGAGACTCCTACGGCTACGACCCTACGACGCTACTGCTGCTGCTGCGGATGATGCTGCTGCTACCACTGCTACTCCCACTGCCACTGCCACTCCCACTGCCACTTCCGCTGCCACTGCGACGACGACGACTACTACTATCGACTATCAGTCTATCGTTCCGTATCGGATGCCACGT